TGTATTTTCACATTTAACTTCAATGGACCAATCACATTCATTTCTGTATTATATGAAAACGATTGTAAATGCCTAAAGACGAAGTTACGAAAACAAGCTGGTTCGACATATTTTTTGTCTTGAGTTTCCACCTAACACCATATCGCTGCAAAATAATCATTTAAGATAGGACAGTGTAGGACCACGAAGCTGGTGCATGGCTTGTCAATAATCCCTCATCATATTTGGCTTAATCAGCTAAATCCATATCCCTTGGATACACCATTTATCAAAAGGAATTAATTTCTTCTTTTAGCCTATTCTCTTCAGGCCTAGTTGATCGTTTCTTCACACGATCTAGCCTGCAACATTTACGAGGACACTTAACAAAGCTCTTCAACCTTCATTCGCTCCAATTTCTTCGCGCACAGGGTTATCTCAGAATGGAACAAGCTTCCACTAGAGATCGTGAACTCCTCTAAAAGAGTCTTCAAAACCCTGCGAAACTTGCACCTAGGGCTTACCCTGTCCCAGAACTAAATAGCCTCCATACACTGGAGGGCACCTCCACTTTCTGCTTCTTTCTCTCACCCTCTCTCATCCTCACAATTATCTCTCAATGCATGGAACCACAACCCAACAGCACCATAATCGAGCCCACACCCCTTTTCTAATAACTGTTTCAGCCCGTGCACCGCACTGCAGAAATGTAGACAAATACAGAACCGGGACTATTGGGCGCAAGCCTCGAACCCGAGTATTACTTCAATACTTCAAGACAATCACCGTGACAACTTAACGCGATGGTCTGCAGATCACTTAAACGTATTCATTTCCTTCGTAAAAGTTTTTTCTGAAATGCATTTCAGGTGATTATTTACAACGAATCGTTTTTTATCTGTGTTCAGAATCGCAATTTCAAATGAGTTTCTTCGCGCGAAACGTGATTTTGAGTATATAATAATACCAGCTGGTGCAAAAGCCTAGCTTTTCAAAAATGAATGGCGGTTTCCCCTTCAAACGCTCTAATTCAGGAAAAACTAATGACAAAAAGGTTGTGTTCAAGAATTTCAAGCAAATTTTCAATGCTGAATCTCAGGTACGTGTTAAATACTGGCGTTATTTTTGTTGAAGTCGAGAAGTATTTTAACATTGAATGCATTTGTATCATCCTTCGGCCGGACTGAAGATCTTGACTGATAGCAATATGGTTATTCTAGTTCATTGGGCAAGGTAGCCCGATTGGATCCCAGCGGTGAGCTGCCGTTGATGTCGCTCAGCACAACTTTCGGGTTCTAATGGGCAACTTGCGTTGAGTCTGACCACTCACTAGTTATGCATTCAGTTATCGGCGAAAGTCATCCCCGTTATTGGCCTGTCATCACCCAGCCATTTGTGCCCGTTATGACAAAAAGCTTAGGTTTTAGCTATGAGAAGCGCAAGTGGTAGGATAGACGGAATCGACCGTGTGATGCATTCGGTAGCAAATTTTGCTTTAGGATCAGAATCCGAAGTCCTTCCCATTATTTAGATCTCTCGGGAGTCAGTAGACCTGTTGAAAAAGGCGCGAAAGATCCCGATGTACAAGGAGAACAACGGGTTAGGTAGCGTCTGCATCTTCAACGCAGGGAGGACTACGACCTGGTACAAAACCAACGTGGGAAAATAGGTCAAGTTACAAGATTGAGCCGAATCGAGTCAATTTTTTTCACTGCATGCTTTAGATGTCTCTGTGCTACACCGGCTCGTAAAATGAAAGCAACTGCATCAAGGAATACGAAGCGCGTCGGATACCAGTCGTGACGAACTTCTAAACAGATCCCATGCTTTTTGAGCAACCAATTTACTATCCATTAAACTAGAGGACAAGCATGTATGGAAGTACCGTGACACAGGGGATGTACCGGTACGCGCAAACTTAGACCTGCTTTAAAGCACGAAGGCGACAAAGACCGACGAGCGCAACATGGTACGAACGGAACGAAAGCAACCAGTAAAAGTTCGCCCGCCGAAGAACACAGTGTATATCAAATGTGTGAAACAAATAGCATATGTTGCAACCCAACCTCCACGAGCTCTCTACAGAACTAAATATATCTACCATGTGCCAAACAAATCACAGTATAATGATCTTTATAAAAAAGAAGTGTTCCATGGTTTGCTCGTACGCGTGATATCGCCAAGCAGATGAAACTTCTAAGGGAATTCACAGTCGGCGCATTCGGTTAATCAGCGCCCGATCCGTAAGGCGGCGGGGCAGTGTGAAAACTGCAATCCTTTATTGGCCAGTTAATCGAATCACGCCCTTTGGACAGGGTCAAAGGTCCAAGGTGCCCAAAACACTTCGATACCCAATCGAGCCAATGACAACTATCACGACCAGGAAGGTTTGTATGTAGTCCGTACACCTCTACTTGGAAAGTTTGGAATCAGGACTTTTGGTCAACTCCCTTAGGTGAACTGCCAGTGGTTCACCAACTTAGTTGGTGGGAAAACACCGCCTGAGAAGGCAGTGCTTATGGATTCCTCAGGAGGAGCTATGCGAGAAGCTTGGTCGCATAGGGGCATTTCACGAGGGATAAGGATGATCAGCTGCAACCCAAAACACCCACCTCCGACCATACTGAGGCTTTCAGAGTCCCTGCAGAACTGGACGTACGATGTAGTGTTCAATCGTTAGTGAACAAAATTCAGCTGNATTCCTTCCAAGATGTTTGGGGGGGGGGGTATTATTATAGATCATTGATTGGTAGAGCAGATCGCACCATTTCGGGGCAGTTCATTGATCTTCAACGTCTGCAAACCACCGTAGGATAAGGTTAGTTCGTCGCTAAGGTGACATAGCATGCCATTTTATAGTACACACTTGTGTAATGAACAGCAGACGGGGCGAACCCCATATTCACGAAGATATGCTGTTCAGTGATGGAAATCGGCAACCTAAGCCCTGGAACTTGGATTAGCTAACTATATAAGGTCCCGCTAGATTAGCCGTGATATTGNNNATTGGGTGGCGGGGCTTGAGCCTCGGATCATAGAGTCCAAAGCTCGCCAATGAAAGCAACTAGACCACTGTGCAACCACCGGCCCTTGAGACTAAAAAGTTCGGGTACTCATTTAGTTGCGCACTTTAAACCTCCTAATCTTAAGGTTATCCTGAAACACCAGATGTCGCTTCTGGTGCATGCCAAGCAATTATAGTGAATTGATTATTGTACTGGAGTGACAAATTACCGTAGCGCAATACAGGAGGTAGCCGCTCACATGTAATATCCGAGTCAGGTGCAACAAACTGAACCACCGGCAAGGAAGTAAAGTTTATCTGAAATTGAAACATTGCTTATAGTGCGTCATCTTGCGTCCATTTCTACCTCACTTGTGAGATCTTAAGTTTGTGCGTGAAAATATTCAGCGTTTGGAGGTCGTTGAAGGCCCAGATTTACCTTTTCTGAGGATTGATCTAGTGGTTCAGTGGGGCTAAATTAGTTCGCCCTGTATTTAAGAATAATTTTGAAGATTTCTTATCGCGTCGAATTCAGATCAGTAGTCTTGATTGGTTAGGTCACGTGTCGCGCATGCTCCGCTGTCGTCTGCCGCAACATGCTTTATTTGCGGTTGCCGCTTCAGGATCGAGATCATGCAGTCAGCAGATGACCTGGAAACAAAGTGTAAATCAATGTTTGGAACGATGGGATAGAATAGATGTTTTCCACTCTGTATATATTTCACATTTTTCCGTATTTAACTGTTCCACCCTCTTTCCACTTTGTTCTGTACTGCATTCCACCTATCCCCCATCATTGTTATTGTCTATGTGATTATGGCGTTGGCACCATGCTTGTTCACAAGTCGGTGTAATATATATATATATATATATATATATATATATATATATAAATGATTTCTTGCAGTCACCTTTGCTTTTATTTTTCGCTGTTATTACATCTCTTCATTATCATTTTTTCCCGACAGGTGAATTACCCTGGCGAAGCTATTCGATACTACCAAATTAATGCTCCACCAAGCCTCCGGCCTGCGGTCAAAGTTTCCGATTTGAGTGGCATACCCACGGCCTACACAGATCCCTCGACAAAATTGCATTATGCAACAACTCAAGAGTTTTCCACAGTTCAGAATCTTCCTCCAGAATTGATAAGTGGCTACCTGGCTCTTCGCGGCATGTCAAACAACTGAAGAGGGAATGAAAAATTGGTGCATTTATTTTCATATTTTCCTCTGTATTCGAGGTGACTATTTCTGCAACGAGGGCCCTCTGTTTAAAATGTGTTTGCTCAATTACGAGTTCATCACCTTATCCTGAATGTTTTGTAGCATATCTTCGACCGAAGAGCTGATTAACCTGCCGGGCTTCACAATTTGCATTCTGGAAGTATTTCCATTTGTTCCCTATTTATTTGTAAAGAAACGCTCAGTTCACAGTGGAAGAACGATAAAAAGTCTTTTGTCTGTACAATTTTATCCAAGTGGTGTTAGTGTTTTTACTGGACAAGCAATACATTCTTCAGTTGGGTCATCACAGTTCTCAGAACCCATTTTGAAATTTATGAATCTAGCCCTCCGCTAATTGCCACCTGGTGCACTAGCCAGGGGTCCGCCGTCTAAGATAGGCGTCAAGTGATGCTGTGAATAACAATCGGTACCATACCCTGAGAAATCCTCGGGTAAATATCCACAAAGCTGACCGATCCTCACGTAAGGAGTCATCTGAGGGTGAAAGCAGCACTCAGTGAGGCAACATGATGGTTTGACCAAATTCAGCTGTAGACGGAGCCCAGAATTATTCTGTGGTGATGCAAGTTAGGAAGAATTCCATACTGCATTGGTCATCGCTCAGTTTTATCGAGACTGCTCCACCAACTGCACCGGTTAGGGTGAGAACTGGTAGGTGGACTTTAGCGTACACGTCATCGTGCGATAAAGAGTGGAGGCTCCACATTCACGAGAACATGTTCACCTAAGGTAGAAATTTGGAGTAGTGAACCTTTCAGCTTTAATAGGATAAGCTTGATTTCAACCTGGTCAACAGCGTAGGTGCCTGTTCGCAGTTGCCACTGTGGTCCATGGAAGAAGTGAAGAGGAGGTACGATCAGCTGAACGGTGGGACTAATCATTTTCAGTGTACTGGGTCGGAGTCTGACAGGTCCTACAGCGACTTGAGAGGACAGCATACCGATGAACCGATAGCAATGGCATTTTCGCTGCAACTTAATTACCAGTGTTTCGCCGCGATTAGACAAGACGGCTTCAACTTATTGTTGTTCGATATTCAAGAAGGATTCGATTTCGACCAAATTATACTTTAGCCATTAGTGTTACGCGAGTCAGACGCCAGTTCTGTCGAAAATTTTCATACCTTCATGACAAATCTCTTTGGCCGGCTAATGTCTTCTTCTGTCCCCACAAAAACCACTCACCAAGGCAATCTATTCAGTGGAATACGTGTTGCATGCCCCAGTCACCTTAATTTGTGAAGGTTGAAAGCGTTTACTGTAGTAAGCAACTGTGACTGCCTAGAACTGTCTGTCCTTATTGCTTGGCTGGTCACATCAACTTTTGTAATTCAGTTTGCACAGCACAGTTCAGACAGCGACAATGGATCTTTATCGTATATTCATCATTAGCAAAAATTAGTCTACTTTGTTTACTGTTTCCCCACCTAGGGTTCTTTTTAATTTGTCCTTGGCGCCCATTCGCTTACGAAATAGCATAGTCCGATCAAAACGACCAGAATGTACTTTACTTAAATCAGAAACGGTGTTCTGAAAATGGTAAACGACGGGAAACAATTTATTCCGTTACGATTTCAAATGATAGCTTCAAGTGAATCTAACTAATCGCATTTCACCTGAGAACCTCACAAAATGATCGGCGCTTCATCCGTCACACGTTCGATTGTACCGGGTCTACCAAAACCCGGTCCAGTCAGAATGAACTGATTTCTCCATAGACAAATAAAAGTACTTTTTAAGTGAGTTACCGAGCCAGGATAAAAGTTTCTGAAGGGTGGGATTCGGCTGTTCCTCCCCCTCTTCACTAACACTGGACAATGTTATGTCATTATTGATCGAGTAAGTAAGACGAGAATGGACAAACTCAGCGTTAGATGACCTCGGTCGGCCGGGTCAGGGAACGAATCACATCAAGATGGATCGGTAAATCGGTCACCTTCCTCAGGCATGCACGTTGGAACGAATCACTGCATGGGTGGATTCATTCTAGGCCCTCAGCCTACTGAGTAAATTTCATCTAAACAGACGAATGACACCAGTTCCTTCGAGCCAAATGAAATAGTCTACATAGTTCTGGCATCAGAAAGCACACTTGACCAGATGCTTAGTTTTACAAGGGTACAGTGCTAGAATCAACGATATTTCCCCCGAATAGTAAAATCAAACTTTCACTCAATTACCAGCTGACAGAAAGTATATTTCTCTCCATAATTTCCCGATTGACCATTGCATTCTCTCCACAATGCAATTGGTAGCAACCTGTCAAGCACGGCTTCTCCGTTGCCTCATTTCTCATAACCGCATTTTTTCCAGTCTAACTACATCTGTGCGATCACTGTTCATTGAGTGAGATGCGTGACGATGGAAATATCTGACAGTTATCCATGATTCAACAAAATCTCCGAAGGAACAAAGTTAACGGAAACGTGGATGATGACTGTTGGTAAATGAAGAGGTGTGAGGAGTTATATAGCATTGCAATAGCCAACTTGAAAATGAATGAACAACTTTCCGAACATCGGATACAGCCCACTGGCAAATCGAGAAGTGAAGTAAAACGGTTAATACCAAAAGTACAGCTTAAAAACCGAGGTTCTTCGAACCTAGTATTACACGAGTGGTGGATGGTTTGATTTGTGTGTGATGAAATTCGTCGTGAGCAGAGTCAATGAATTGTGAAATTGAAAGCTAGAAAGCATTGCGCAACTATTCTGAACTGGTTGGGTCTCAGCTGTGCCAATCCTAGTGCTAGGATGCGCGGTCTGTGTTGCCTGTATTGGACCCAAAACAATGAGTTATTTCATTGGCGTGTATGTGAAATGGAAAACGGTCTGATGGAATAAACACTGGTGAAGGGTACAGTTTCCTTGCGTTCTACCTATGAGGTTCTGGGTTCGATCCCAAAGTGGGCCGATGGATCCACACTGTTGATTAAATTTGAAGGATCAAATGACGCAAAAAAAGGTCACTTTGTGACCCGAAAACCGCAACCCAGTTGGGAGAACAATCCCCTCCCTTCATACCAGTTCCACGACTAACCAGGTTGAACAGAGTGAAAAAAGGTACAAAATCGTCACTGAAGAAAAACCTGTATAAACAAACGGGTACAAGCAGAACACCGCCATCACGTAGGCACTGAAGACGCCACTCCGACTGGGGCGTCAAGGCTAAAGGGTTGAGCCAAGACAAAAGGATCATGGTTTTTGGCTTAATGATTATGGGTCAAGCGTCTCACGTAGGAGAAAGTCGCTGATCAAAAATAAGACAACCGTGGGTCGAATACACCCGAAACTATCATTCTTTGTAGAATCACGGTTAACTTTTAGTTATTCTCATCACACGTCCCACTCAATGAACTATGGAGATCGCACAGATGGCATCAAACTGAAAAGATGCGGCGCGGATAACAAATGATGCAACAAGAATAATAAAATATGTGACGAGGGTGATTAACAAACGGAGAAGCTGTACTTAACAGGTTAATTTCACTGGCATTGCGGACAGAACGAAACATTCATTCCTGGAGTTACAGGTAAAAAAATAATTTCTGTTAGTTGGTGAATGAGTGCAAATTTAATCTTGCTATTCATGTGATATACTGTTAATTCTTTCATTGTATCCGTGTGCCATTGTTAAGTATCTTGTCCAGTGTGCCTTTCAATGCCAGAAATATGTAGGCAACTGCATTTGGCTCAAAGGAATTGAAATTATTCGAGAGGACCTTTACCTCAATGCATTTTACTCACTGGGCTACTGAAGGTCTAGATTGAACCCACTCATGCAACGATTCATTGCAGCATTCACGCTTGAGCATGATGACTGATTTACCGATCCTTTCTGACGTGATTCGTTTCCGTACTCGGCTGATCGAGGCCAATTACCACCGGGTTTGTTCGTTCTCATCTAAAGTTCACATGATCAATGAACAAGGACATAACGTACCCGGATGGGGAGGAGGACGAACAGTTAGACCCTACTTCACCGAAACCTTCATCCTCGTTCGGCAACTCACTTAAAAAGTATTTTTATTTGTTCATGGAGAAATCAGTTCATTTCGAATGGACGGGGTTTTGATAAACCCGGTCCAAACGGTGACGCATGTGGGATTTCTGGTAGAATGTGATTGGTTGGATTTACTGGAATTAACGGTGGATTCAATTGAAGTTACAACGAATTCATTTAAAGTTGAAAAGGTATGAACAAAAGTCGCAAAGGTCACATCTCAGCTGGAAAATGGAATCGATTCGTGATTAGCATATGCCGGGAATGGGAGTGAAATCTAGCGAGATGACTATTGATACAATGCACCGTTACTCCGTGCACTTTCGGCCAGTGGCTTATCGCAGTCACATATCATGCATTACACTTTTACTAGTTCTTTACCATGCTTTGTCGTAAGACATTGTGGAACGCAGATTATTGACTCCAGCTAGCTAAAACTTCCTTTTCTCGTGAGAAACTATACGTCACATTTGGCCAAGTATCGTTCTGATTCGTCCAGGGATCCCATGTGAGCTTTGAGGCCACCAGCGACTACTGTCTGCTGAGTGAGCACTTGGAAGCATTCGAGATGTCGTTGTCGAAAACATTTTTCATTTAAGTGCTACAATAATTTGGAGCGTACAAGATATGCCGAATAATCTGCGACACTTCACTCCGTTACCGTTGATCTCTCACGACGGACAGCTCGCAGTAATTTACCGTCTAGAGTCTGACACTTGGTGGAATCTCGACGCCGACAAAATCATCGAAAGCCTCAGTATGTTCGTGGATGGGTGCTTTTGTTCGCGGCTGGTTATCCCTCCGTCACACCGCGAAATGCTCCCATGCGACTAAGCGCTTAATACAGCTCCAGCTCAGGGAGCCTTACTAACTGCCTTCCCGCAGCGGTTTTCATACCAAAGTGAGAGGACTAAAAGCCGATTTCCGGATTGGTGAACCATTGGCAGTTCACCTAGTGGAGCTGGCTAAAAACCCTGAATCCAGGCCAAGCAAGAAGGGATGCAGGAACCACACCCAAACCTTTCCTGGTGTGGCAATGCTCACGGGCTCGATTAGACATTGAGGCGTATTGGGCACCTTGGAAGTTTGACCTCGTCCGAAGGGTGTATGACCCGATGAATTGAACACCGGTTCCCAATGGATTGCGGTTTTTACACCGCCCCGCTGCTTTGCGGGTCAGGCTGTGGCTAGTCGAAGGCTCCGGTTGAGGATTCCTTAAGAAAGTTCACCTGCCCTGGCCCGCGCAACCTGGCAGCACCGGTTCTTCGAGTAAATCATGAAACATTTTTCTTTTTTATAAAGCTTGGTGTGCTGTGATTTGTTTCGCACACAAAAGATTCACAGGAACTGACGGGCTTGGGACCCGAACTTTTCAAATAGCCCGGGTTCTGATTGTGGGTTTACTGCACAGCATCGGACAGAGGTCCTCGGAGTAGTTAACTGCTACTCTGTATTCGCTCCTGGATACCCTCAGGTTTAAGCAGAGCTGAATGCTACCAGGCACGTCCCCGGGTTGTGGGTAGGGGGATACCTTCATCAAAGAAGGTTAGCCGTGAATAAGTTGTGGCATACCGCAATAAATAAGCAGTTTNAGCAGTTTCGAACAAACAGCGGCGGCACTACCACGGTGTGGTGGGTTTTAGGTTGGTCACCTAGCTCCTGTTTTAAGCCCAATGACGGTGTCGTGACAAAGGTCGATGTGACTGATCTTTTAAAACTAAAACCATTGACCCCATCACTTTGGAGGAGGGGGATTACTACCTGCTGCCTAGCACTTGGTTGTGCAAAAGCTAGAGGTGCGTCCTCAAAATAAAAAATGCCGAGTGATGCTGGGGACGTCTCTCGTACCAAACTCTAAGGAACTTCCTGACCATGTTTGGAGCCGGCTTATCCTATCCAAGGAGCCCACCGCAGTAAAATAAATATAAGTAGGTGAATGCTGGATGTGTGCCCGGATGGAACAGTCTGGACGCAGAGATGTACACACGCATACGTATATACGGCGAAATCCAGGACACCAAATCGCTGGACACTGCGTGAAACGTCCATACTGAGGCTTCCGAGGGCATGCAGGAAATCATAACCCATCAACGTGTAGTCTTGATGCGATGAACATTAGCCATACGTTTATGGCTGCTAACATGCAGCTGAGTGAGCAGTTGCACAGAGCTGAAAATTCTCTTGAAAACTGCTCTGACAACCATTTGAGATGCATGGGTAGTGCGTAAGCACGATCGAAAATTCGAGAAGACATGGTATGGGTGGTTGACGATAAAATACCAGAAACGGCAGGATTTAGGGTAATGGTCTAGATATGAAGGTAATTTGTTCGGATCCTACCTTCACCGTCTAAATTCCCCAATTATCCATATTCCATGAATGTCTTCTGTCGCCACCCGCTTGCTGAAAATTTATTATCTATTCAACAGAAAGAAACGATTGTTATCGGTATTATTCATAAAGATAGGCCAAAACCTTTCGTTTAATTGCACTTCTAGTGTGAATCACACTTTGTGGTAGTGACGATACCTTTATTTGCTACGAATATTTACAAAAAATTAATCGATTTCTACGGTTGCTCCAACGGCCTCCAGAACCTTTTTGATTTCTTCTGCTTCCTCTTTGCTCACATCCGCCTTAATATTTCCGGGGGCGGACTGAAAAAGAACGAATAAAAAGAAAACCGTAGGTATCGTTTCGTACGATCAAGCAAAATCATCGACTATAACTAAACTGTGAAACACTGTGCTGTACAGTATTGTGGCAGAATTATTCACCACAGTCATATACCTGAGGTAATCACCAAATTAACCCAACGTGCTTATAGCGCATAACACTGAAACTGAAGCACTAATTCTGGTTCGCTTCACATCAAACAACTGAGATTTGGTGGGTGAAATGCGGTATACAGCGACTGGATGCATAAGCTAGACAAGTCTTCACTGTCTTCGAGCCTAATAAAGATTAAAATAATTTATCCGCCAATTTAATTTGGGTTCCAAGGTACTATTTCGGTAGAAAGTTATCTAAGGGCGATAAGGTGAAGTCATGTGATTGGTTTAGCTACTAGTCGAAAGCCGAACAATTTATTTGGGGTCATGGTTGAACGGGTAAAATGATAGCCATAAATTCCAGAATGAAATAAAATACAAGAGAAAAGTACAAACGCTTGCCTCAACAAACTTCTTCGCCTGTACCAAATTCATGTCAGGAACGATTTGTTTGATTTCCTTGATCAAAGGTACTTTTTTGCTGGCGTCGAATTTCATTAACTTCACAGTGAAGGAAGACTTGACAGAGGTCTGTTGTTCTTCAGCCTCATCTGGTGGCGGACTGTTTGCTGCTGTCGGCATCATTGTAGGCATGAAAGCTGTCGGAGTCTTCATCGAGAAAAACGAGATATAAAAACGACAAATGAAGAGGAACTTTCGATGCAACACTAAGAGTGACCTAAATACCGTCACGTAGAGTGAAAAAATTAGACAAATGCGCACGCGTGAATAACACCCAGGAACTCTGCGATTGAACTGAAAATGTGTGCTCTCACGGTATCCGTGACCCATGTTAACATTGCAATATACATCTGATCAAATGAAAACTACGTTCATAAAAAAATAATGAAATGAAAACAAACTGTTCTAGGTTAATTTTCTGCTATTCTATATAACTATGCATTGTGTTCTGTTGCTTTTCCCGGTGTTAATCGCGGTTGTTGGTTTGCGTGAAATGATGCGATTACTCCAAATGCAAAAGCTGGGAACTGAAAAACAACTTTTCAAAAAAGTAAACAAAATGATGAAAGCAACTTCAATCGAAACCATTTGACGGTGACAGATGATAAGTACCTGGATATTCAACTTCTTTTGTAACAACTCAGTTAGATCAGCCACCTCAAGTAGAGTCAATGTTGAAATTTCGTCGACGATGCGAGTAATCTTCGCAGAGTACGATTTTGCTGCGTCGCTCCCGGGAATTGAGGGTGGTTGCAATTCGGATTCCTCCACTTTCGACTTGGGTTGCGAAGAGGTAAACCGTTTGCCACTAGTGAGTCCACGTGTAGGATAAAGACATTTAGCTTGGGATAATGGTGCGGTAAGGTTGGACGCAGCTCTGAGAAAAATTTTGGAAATCTGAAGACCTGACATGGACCTGGATGCGGAGCTTGAATGGAGGCAGAAAAAAAAAGAAATGAGACATCCATCAAGCGCCTCATTTTTTTATTACACACTATTGTGTGGTGAACACCAAGCGGGATAAACCCTGTAGTCACGAGGACCCACTGTTCCGATTGAAGTGCGCAGTAGGCCATTGTAGCATGGCGCTTAGCTCGCAACGAGAGCAGCCGACAAGCCTTTACGATTTGGGCAGCGGTCTCAGCAATGAGAGTGCCACTGACAGTTGAGTATGTTGTGCGGTGTTAATTGAAACAACCTGTAGGCGACTTTCAACTTCAGTGAAACGTCACGTCGAAAAGTCGCGTACACTGCGTCACTTTACGATCCGTTTTACTTTACGGTTGAGACTTTAAATTTGCGGGTAGAAGATATCCGTCGCCTAATAGTTTTCGACAATCGATGGCCCAGGTTGAATGGAGTGAGCGGGTTAGTAACCTAGAAGTCGTCGGATGTTTAAGGATGCGTAGAACATGAACTCGCTAGTGCATCGAATTCAGCTCAATAGGCTCTGTTGGTTAGAACACCTCTTCCCTACCGCACCACACATTTGCAGTGGCCGCTAGAGACTGAAGAAAGCTATGTGAAGGCCAGTGGATGGCGTGGAGACGATGGATAAAGAAATACACAGGTTGATTAGGTACAGTAGGTGTCTCTCGTTTTCCGGGTTGGGGTCCAAAAGACTCCGTAACGGGATAGTTGGAGACACTGGAGGTCATGGCGGCCAACCGGCAGTAGGGGTAATCTTGTTGTCACTTCTTATCAGACCAGAATATTTGAAAACGTATGTGCACAGTTGAGCTGTGCACTGTGTTGACCATGGAGGTTCGCCTTCTTTTCTCGTCCCTAAAAGTAAGCCCAATTTCTATCCTCCTTACATATTCTCACCTACGTTGTATGCATCGAGTTTGGAAGCGATTGTTGAAGTTCACTTCATTGTATTACGCTGTACGATGGTGATGGTAAGCATATTTCAGGTCCTACGCCTGAAAGCTTTATCCGTCCCTCACTTTTTCATCAGTCGTTTTCTTTTATTTTGTGGCCATGGCTGTACGTGTCTCTTGTAATCTCCTTCGGGGTGCTCAAGAAGGACTTTAATTTGTTTTCCAGATCCTTGGCACAGTTACCTGGAATTGGTGGGATTTCCCGTGAAATTCCGTCACTTCATCGTTTCACAACATACAAAATCATGTCTTTCGTTAATCACAAAACTCATGAACAACCCTTCGCATCCGTTACACGCAGATTTCATAGTGTCTTTTTGTTCCATCCGGTCCAGCTATAACTTTATATTTACTCGCACAACCGCCTATTGGTCTTCTGTGGTACCTTGCCCGATTTCTTGTTAACCCAGAGCGCATCGCTTCTGTACTAAACTCACTCATATCGTAAATTTTGTTTTGTCCTTGCTTTCCACAATTCAGGTGTAATTTTGTTTAATTGCTGGTTTTACTTTGACTGCATGGCTGCTGAAGATTCACCTTTCGGGGTGCGTGAAGCAAATACTTGATTTGACTTGAATTTCAAACTGCGTCGTTCGTCGCCCAGAATAATCAGGACCACACGGTCTATTTCATGGTGTGAGGTGGTTCATAAACTGGCTACCGCTCAGAGGTTCCAAACGCTGTCCGGATCCCATCACCACATCGGTTTAGGTCTAAGATGCATACTGTCCCATCCAATCCTATATATACTATAGTAACTACCAGCCGGTGTGACTGACCAATCGAAAAGTAGGATCCCCTGTCTAGCTGCAGGCGACAGCGAAAAAACGTCTTCGGCGGCGACAATCATCATAGATGAACTGATGGAAGAGTGTCCTAGACTTTCTGTCATCTCTGCTTACATAGGCATGTAGCGACCTGGAAACTCAACGTTTCCAATGTAGTTAGTATGTCAGGCCAGAGAAGGCGCGAATTAATCCCCTGGGAAATGTTCAAGATTCAAAAGCTATCCTACCTTTAGAAAATACGGCAGCAGACGAGACTGTGATTATATATATACTATTACTATTACTTACCGCAATAAACGTGACTTGATCGCTTTTACAGAATATTTCATAATAAGTAGTATGTGAAGGACTGGACAAAATTCCCCGACGACCGGTTTCGCGGTTCTTGCCACTCGTCAGGTGTGCGTATCCAGTAATCTTGTCAGTTCAGCCATATACTTGTACCCAGGAAGTGTATTCCAGGGAAATTTTTGCACAAAGTTGAGAAGATAGCTATAACAATGACGATTTTATTCCTTTAGAGATCACTAGGTTATTGAACGACGGAATAATCGAACCTTCTCTATCACCGTGGGGGTCCCAGGTCCTGGATACAACCAAGGAACGCTAGAAACCACGGATGGTTGTTGATTACAGCTAGACAATTAATCGATTCACCCTTTTGGATGCTTATCCGCTACCCCGCATTGATGACTTGGTGGAAAAAATTGCCAAATAGTGTTTACAGAACCTTAGACATTAAGAGTGCGTACTACCAAATAACTATAAAGTAAAATGAACATTATACAGCTTTCGAAACATGCAATAACCTTTACCAATTTCGCCGCATACCGTTTGGAGTAACCAACGGCGTCGCCTGTTTTCAGCGCACGATGGATGAGCTTGTTCGACGAGAAGGGCCCAGAGGAATACTTGCATATGTAGACAACATTACTGTCTGTGGAAAAGAAATCACGGACCGCGACATCAATCTGAAGNCGGTTCCTGCAGGTGGCCACCAAACATAGTTCAACTCTAAATTATAACAAGTGTATTCACCTCTGAAGTAGTATGACTGCTAGGCTACGAAATATCCAAAGGAAGCGTCAAGCCGGACCCTGGACGCTTCGGTGCTGCTCTCAAACTACCCCAGCTCACGAATATGAAAGCCCAAGTCATAGGATGTTCTCATATTATTCCAATTTTTCGTAAAGAGTCGCTTGCTAATTACTTAAAAAATTATCCCTTTTTGTGATTCACTGGAATCCGAGACGATTCAAGCATTAATGGCCGGAGTCGATAAAGACACAGCATCATCATCGTACAGCGAGATAAAGTGAAGCGAACTTCACTGATCGCTGCCAAGCTCACAATGTACACAAATCAAGTGATAAAACATAAGATGGAGAGGGATGGGGCCTAATTGGAGGGAGGCAAAGAAAAAGAACCTCAATGGTCAACAAACAGAATACACAATCTAACTGTGCATACATATCTTTTCAAGCATTCGGACCTGATAAGAAATAACAAGAACGCCACAGTTGTCGGTTAGTAGTCATATCCTACAGTGTCTCCAACCGGCCAGTAGCAGAGTCTTTCGGATCCCAACCTGGAAGACGACAGACACCGATTCTACCTGATCGCGCTACGCATTTCTTCGTGCCTCGCTTCCACGTCATCTGCTGACCTCCACGCGGTTTCTTCCAACGTAGAGCCGCAACTGCAAATAAGGCGCGGTGCGGTAGACGATGACTGGNCGAAGCAGACTAATCTGCATTCTATGGGACAACAAATTCTCCATCGAATCATTTCCAAACACGTGACGCCATAGCTCCAAATTGCTTACAGCGCTCGCTCTATCCAACCCGCGCCTAACTACGTAAACATCGGAAGTCGACTTCTAGACAACGAATATCTTCCACGCGCAAATTTAGGGTTTCGCAAATACGGAGCAGAACTAATTGCACACCGGGGCAGTAGACGCAACCTTTCGGTTTCAACGAAACATCGGGTTTGCACCAAAGGTGTTTCAGTCCTTCGAAAGCTGCTCGAGCCTTGGAAATGTGGGCAGGAGTAGTTGATGAGGGATTCAGCCTTCTCTTGGTTGGACTAAGTTTTGTTCCCCCTCGCGTCAACAATCCCTTATAGGGATCGACAAACCGTCAATCTAGCGGTGATTCTTACGTATGAACAGATGCAACGGATATATAAAATGCTAGGAAATCTCATCGAAAACTGACATTCACAATTAGCTGTCCCAACGACGAAAGCCTAACTCCCCACGACTGAAACTCCAACGCGAACATGATCGTAGCGACACAACCCACTAGGTCACGGGGGTTCAGTTCAGTTCAGTTCAGTTGCACAGGACGAATATGGCTCTTGCCAATCGAGCG